AAAAAAAAAAAATTTAAAGACCCTGTCCCAAAAACTAAAGCAACCCAGCAGCTTTCCCAGTGACTTTTGGCCTGCTATCTGGGACTTCAGGGCCATTTTGTGCTTGACACTCCACGTGTAAAGCCTTTTTTTTTTTTTTTTTGGCAGAACCGGGGATTGAACTCAGGCCCATGAGCTTGCCAGGCAAGTGCTTATTCCACTGAGCCACCTCCCCGACCCCCGTGTGTAAAGCCTGATGTGGAGTCCTTCACAGCCACTAGGGCTCCATGCCTTATTCTACCACATTTATGTTCTGTTGATTCTTCATGTTCCTTTCAGAGAATTAGATATCTGGATAAATCTTTCGCCATATTTTGTAGTAATAGTAAAATATGTCTGGGTGGGCTTCTTTCTAAATACTTTGTTTTAATATTCTAAAAAATTAAATGTCTGTCTTTAGGGAAAAAACCTTCCTAGACTTGGCCTTGTGTGTTTCTTTCTGCTGGAATAACACTTGTGAGGCTCTTGTACCTGAAAGTGTGTTAATGAGCAGATTTAACTGCAGCGTCCGCAGCCCTGTGGCGTCCAGTAATTTGGGGAGGGGACCAGCAGAAGGGTGTAGTGGCGCCAGTCCCCTTCCCAACCTCCCCTTTCATGGTTGTTAGGCTTTCCTAAGTGGCAGGCGTGGCCAGGATTAAAATGGCCATGCAGGTAAGTTGGGTCTCAGCCCTGGTAATCCACTTGCAGGTGAGAACACAGATCAAGTGGTTCTGAGTAAGCCTTAAATCAGTCTACTCCTAGGCTGGAGTAGCCCCTGGCAGTGGTCCTCCTACCCATATCCTCTGTTTTAGTCATCCTTTGAGTCTGACAATTTTCCCAACACAGAGACGTGTCTGCACTCACAAGAATACAAATGTAGACACCCTCACATGGACACACAGGGGAAGAGCTCCCTGAGGCCAGGGTCAGCCCGGCTCTCGGGCTTGTCCACCGGCACAGTAACACGGAGAATGTCTCTTCTGTTGAGTCAACCTCCTCTTGCACCTCAGGAGTGTAAAGGCCCCAAGAACGTCTGTCCAGGCTCTGGTGCTGATGCTGCAGACACTGGCTGGGGTTCCCTGCGTGCAAGTGCCCGGTCCCTGCAGGAAGCTGGCTGCTGCAGCAGAGGGCTGGGAGACAAGTCAGGCAGCGTGGGCTCTGAGAGCAGGTTAGAGTGCTTGCGTCGTCACGCAGTTGCGGTAGGGAAAGCAGTGAGACACATGGCCAGAGGAGGTGGTGTGGAGCAGGACTGGAGAGTCCCCAGAGCGGGTGGGAGCCAGCTGAGTTTCAGTGACTATTCTGGAGTGGGTAAACCCTCGACAGCAGTAGGGAGGGTCCTGAGGCTGCAGCTGTCAAGAGATGGGAGCCAGGATCTAACCAGCCTTCCAGGGGAAGAACGTGCAAGGAGGGGAGAAGGGCCAGGGGGCTGGGCAGCGGGCTGGGTAGTTTTGCGCTGACCAGAGAGTAGGTGAGGACATCCAAGTAGGCCCTCCAGAGGTTGCTCCCGGGTGATCAGAAATCCGAGTCGTGCGTGTCCTGCCTGCCAGAAACAGCACTCCTGCCACCCTGCCACAGTGGTGCTGGCTATGCCTTTCATCTGCAGTGCTGTACCTTCACGGTGGTAGAGTGTGTTTTGATGTACCTGGTCTGTGACTCCCTGCAGAGAGCTTGCTGGTCTCTGTTCCTGGCCCAGCCACCCCTGCCTGTTCACATTCCCCTCCCACTACTGCCACCATTGCTCATAGCCAGGAAAATCAGAAATCAGCCTGCGCTGCCCAGTGGAAGGCTGAGGAAGGTCCTGGAGGAGAGTCAAGACAGCAGAGCAGGCCCCGACCGTGTCCGGCACTGCCTCTGCCTTTCCCAGCCCCAGCCCTGGGCCTCCCACGGGAGCAGCTGGCCTGGTACGGCCTCTCAGCTGCAGATGTATGTCTAGAGGTTACTGCTGCACTGGGCAGTGCAGTGCTCTTTATTGGAGAAAATAGCACTAACCATCTAAGGTTTCAGTTATTTGTACTGATTCTTTATGCCCTGTGGTAGGTTCTGGCCCTCGTATGAATTGTTAAAATCATTATGGTGGTCGTCTAATATGGCTGGTGCCCTTAAAACAAAAGCCCATCTTCCCCAGGACCACCTCCCCCTTCTCCAACTTAGCCCAAGACATTATTTACTTCTACCCTTCCCACCTTCCACCCTTCCCGCCACCTCAGGGAAGACCCCAGTCAGCTCCCTCGGGTGTATCTAAACATCCCCTCCAAAGTCCACCCCTGGCAAAGGCCATAAAAGCCTCAGCCTCCCTTTGTTCCAATCCAGAGAATTCCTTATCTTTCCCCACATTCTCTCCCATGTCCTCAAAGAAAATAAAGCCCCTTTCCCTTCTTCCTTCTGCATGTTTCTCTGCTACACCCGAGTACCTATCACCCTGGGCCCAGGCCAGTTACATGTAAATGCAGATTTTTTTAAAGTAAGCTTATTATTTTCTTCTCATTTTATTTATATTAGAAATAGTAGGCAAAAAAAAAAAACTCCCAACCTGCTAGATGTCCAGCATGAGTTCGTGCTCTCTAAAATCACAGAATGACTTTTAGGAACAGCAGAGATTCAGAGCAGAACATATTTTCTGCGAGAGGAAAGCTTCCCTCTGAGAGAGACAGAAGGGGGCCTGAGGGGTTGCTCAGGACCTTTTCCAGGGATTTTTAGAAAGCAGAAACGCGGGGCTGGTGAGATGGCTCAGTGGTCTGGAGCACCTACTTGGAACAGGCTTGGCAACGCCCATGGACCACGGTTCAATCCCCCAGCACCACATGCCAGCCAGCCCCCCCCCCTGGTGGGCTGAGCTGGCCACACACACACACACACACACACACACACACACACAATAAATTAAGTAAATTAAAAAAAATTAAAAAATAAGTTTAAAAAAAAAAAAAAAAAGAAAGCAGAAACGCGAGGTGAGGCAGGCCCAAGGTGGGGGCGGGGGAGAGGGGAGGTGGAATGGGAACTCACCAGGTGGGCGTGAGGTGGGACAAAACGGTGGCCAGCCAATGAGATTCCGAGCATAATTGCACAGGGAATATTGATTAAATGGGGATGAAATTGGGAAGCAAGTCCCTTAGCAGGCACAAACAGGCATGAAAGGCGACAGGGCTCTTCCTGGAGCGGGTGGGTCAGTGGCTCTCTGTGGCTTTCTCAAGGTGATCTATTCCTATGTAGACTATCAGTCATTGCTGATTATCTTTGGGGGAAGTGTGTTGGGGGCCTTCGTTTTATCTTTGGTCTTGAGGTCTGGCCCTCAGCAGAGGTGTGGTCACCCCAGAGCTGCAGTGTATCATTCCATCTCCTCACTGGCTCCCAGCCCTGTCTGACTGCCTGGATTTCTATCTAACTTAGCTGTCTAGAACTCTAGTACTTAATGCACTTGATAGTTTTTTCAGGTGCCCGGCACAGAAGAGAAATAGGCAGAAACGTAAAGGGAAACGGGCCTTCTTTTCTTTGAGGACACGGAGAGAAAGCTTGATACTTAAAAATAATTAAGTAGGGTGGGGAGATAACTCAGTAGAATAGGCGCTTGCCTGGCAAGTGCAGGGTGCTGAGTTCAATCCACGGTACTGCTAAATAAATAAATAAATAAATAAATAGGGGCTGGCAAGATGGCTCAGTGGTCTAAAGCACCTACTTACAACAAGCTTAGCAAAGCACATGGACTGCGGTTCGATCCCCCAGCACCACATGCCAGCCAGCCCCGCCCCCTGGTGGGCTGAGCTGGCCACACATACAATAAATAAATGTAAAATAAATAAATAAATTTTAAAAAATAAATAAAATAATTTTAAAATATAGTCACATCTGTATGAAAGACTTGGAGCTTGTTTTTTAATGCTTTCTGTTTCACGACAGTTTCGGGGGTTGTCACAGCATCTGTCCAGCCATCCACTGACCTCTTAAGGGGAAAGAGCAAGCTGATGCACTGGGTAGATGTGCTTATGTTAGAAGCAGCATTTTCTTGGATTTCTGAAAACATCATGTTGCGTTGTCCTAGGTGGCACCAAAGATTCCACTTACTACACGTCTGCCCGATCATGGGGAGGTTCCAGGGAGTCCACGTGGCAGAATGAAACACAGCAAAGAGAGCTCGTCTCAGGCGAACGGAGACCTAAGGTTGGTGACTGTGGCTGCCATTCAGCACTTCCGCAGCTCTGTCCTGCTCACTGATAGGTACTTCCGTTGGCCTCCCAAGCATGTGCTGAGTGCCCTGGCTTGCTTACAGAGGGAGCTCGGGGTGGAAAGATGATTCTGAGAGACATATTCCGCAGCAGGACCTACCTTCTGCACCTACACACTGTCAGAGGAAAGCTGCACTGGCTGTGCGCAGGGTTGCTGCTGCCTGACCCCTCTGCCCCAGGCTTCCCATGCTGAGGTCTACTCTTACTCTTCAGCCCCAGATTTCTTAAGCCCAATCATGTGATAAGGTTCTAGGCAGGGCTTTTGGGGTCCTAGTCACAGGAGAAGCTGGATAGAAGAGAGACTGGTGGGGCCACAAGGCTGGGCATTCACCAGGGTGGAGAAGACAGTGGCTGTGGCCAGGTCAAGAGGTCCCAGTAGAAGCCCTGCTTGCAGGCACCGAGGTGTTCTGGGCTTCGCGTCTCTGGGCAGGTGATGGCGGCACCATGGGGCTGTTGTCCTGGCTGGCTAGATCAGGAGCTCAGGGCAGCAGGGAAGGATGCCAGGTAAGTGCAGTGCCACACAGGGAAGAAACAAGTGTGGGAGCCCTGAGGCAGGCCTGTAGGGCAGCAGGGTTGCTGAGCAGGTGCTGAGAAGGCCCCGTGGAGCATGAGGCCCACGTTCAGCAGCAGACTGTCAGGCCTCTTTCTGCCGTGCTAAGTGGTTGTTTTTGCAGTTAAAGAATGCCTGCCCCCAAAACCTGAGCCCCAGTACTAACAGAAATATGTTTACAACCCTACAGTAATACACTTTGGGTTGCTGTAAGCTGCATTTTTCTTTTTTCTTTCTTTTTTTTTCTTTTTTTTTTTTTTTTTTTTTTTGAGGGGGGGAACTAGGGATTGAACTCAGGCCTTGGGCTTGCCAGGGAAGCACTTATTCTACTGAGCCATCTCCCCAGCCCTAAGTTGCATTTTTCACATGAAAATAGAGACACCCTATCTTCCCATGGCACAGTGAGTGGCACCCTAAGCGTGGACTCTTGCACGTGGAGTTGCGGGTTGTGAAGTAGAGTGCGGCCCTGCAGCTACAACACGTTCACGATGGAGCCATAATTGGCTTTTCTTTCTACAGAGTGGCTCTGATTTGCATTCCATTGTCCGATGCGAAGTAGCTTCCAGCGGTGATTGAAGCCCCCAGTGCTGGGGAGGGTCGCCCATGTGCTGCCAGTGACTCAGGCTACCCAAACATCGAGCATCCTCTGAGCAAGGGAAGGGAGAGCAGTAGGCCCTGGGCCTTAGCATCTGGAGGAGATGGGTGCGGTAGCTCTGGGGAGCTGGGGTGCAGCCCTCAGGACCACATGTGGTTTGGAGGAAAAAGGAAAACTGTGTTCTCAGTTGGAGCAGTAGCTTCTAAGACTCTAGCCTCACGTCCGGGCAACTGGGCTGCTCTGTTCTCAGCGTCTCCCAAGTGGCAGCGGATCTGGAGGACAAGATAAAGCGGCACATCCAGCAGATGCATGTGCGTAGGGGCTTCCAAGGCATACCAGTGCTGCAGGAGATGAAGACGGTCACCCAGGACTTGGACATCGTGAGTATTAGTGAGCTCTGTTAAAGAACTTGTTTCATGAAGTCAGAGGTATGGATCACATCTATAACCCCAGCATTCAGGAGGTCGAGACAGGTGATTTAGGCCTGACTACATATATCAAGGCTAGCCTGGACTGCCTGACAAAATCTTGCCTGAAGAAAAAAAAAAAAATCTAATTTGATTTATTTAAATGGAAGTACTTCGCATCTGTGGAGTGCATGCTGACACCGGGTCTGTGCTTGCTGTGTTTTGGCGGGGTGACATTCCAGAGTTACCACTGGTCCGATGAGAGGAGAACATCCCAGCTACCCTGTGAGTCCTCAGATTGCTAGAATCCAACAGTACCCACATCAGGGTATCTCATGGCGGCAGCAGCCTGAAGACAGGGATGGGGACTGTTCCAGGTCCCCTTCACCCTGTCTAGGATCCTTGCTTAAAGCTTTGCACCTAAGAGAACAAACAAGTCTAGGCCTCCAGGGTTACTGCTGCGAAGAGGGGCTGGCAGCTGCTGCTGGACAGTGGCAGCGTGACCAGTGACTCTGTGACAGGCTGGCCCAAGTCCCTGCAGCTCCAGATGCTGCTGCCCTGGAGGCTGCCTGGACAGAGCTGTCCCTGGATTACTGCCCACCTCGCCACCGATGCGTGCTTAGCGCCTGCCTAGCACCTACATGGTGCTGAGACGTCCTGACGCATGAGAACAGCTCAGTGAGATAGGAGGCTCCTTTTCTGCCCTGCCTGGGACATGGCCAGCCCATCCCACGGGGTCCAGGAAACAGCTGCCTTCTTGACAGTGACCACCATGTCCCCACTTAGTCACCCACATGGAATATTGGCCTGTCCTCCTAGGTCACCGGAGCCCTAGCCTGCAGGGCTCTGTTCCACACAGCCTCTTTGAGGCTCCGTTCCAAGGTCAGGCTGCTGCAGAGTGAGCGGCCCCACCATGGAGTAGGAAGTCTCTCCTGTCCCCATCTGTGTGCTCCATCTCTGTTGTCTTCAGACCAACAACAGCAAATCTTGATGAGGATGCAAAGCAACAGCAATCCCTAGCAGAACCTGAGCCTCCAGTGCCAGGCGCTCTCTTCTCAGAAAAATCCTTCCTCCCCCCGCCTTTTCAGCTGTTGTCACCTGGGCCTTTGCCATAGCAGCTGAGCCTGTATACTAACCCATCCAAGGCCAGCAGTCTTGTAGGAAGAAAAGCCACCTGGGAGTGCCGTGTTCAGGTCAGTAGAGCAAAGTGCCAGCGAGATGCAAGATTATTCATTCCACAGCAGCCAAACAAAATAGGAATATGAAACTAGGGAGAGTGGGATTGAAAGCAGAAAGTCTATGGCAGGTCACACTAGGTCCCTAGGTTAGTCTCTTGGCTCCACTGGCTGACCTAGAGGGCTTTTCTCCTCCCTAGAGAAAGAGAGTGACCAAGTGCGAAGGTGTAGTAACAGTGGCCACAGACTACTTTCCTGAGCCTTGAGAAAGAGAGGTGTACACGCCACTGTGTCCAGGCTGCTGCAGGGCCTGGCACGTCCTCCTCAGCAGGGCCTGGCACGTCCTCCTCAGCTCTCTCAGCTGGCCGGGAGCCACATGCGCATCCCCGGGAAAACAGCCCATGCTGAGTGGCCAGGAGTGGCCCACGTGCTGGGGTCCAGAGTATCTGTTCATGGTTTCGGGCCTCATCCCAAGCAAATGTGGAGCTAGAAAGCATTGGCCTTTGGGGAGAGCCCCATTGTGAAGGAGGGGCCTCAGCAAATCAGCCGGAAAAGTGAGCTTCAGATATTGAAGACAAAATTAAAAATCACAAGCCAGCATTAAAATCCTCTGAGTGATAATAGAAAATTCTGCTGCCATGAAACATGGCAAGCTGTTGTGAACACTGAACACTGGTGCCCAAGAATTCAAGGAGGTAAATTAAAAAGATGATTTTTTTTTTTAAATTTAGCTGGGTGCAGGGGTGCATACCTGTAATCCCTGCACTCAAGAGGTTGAGGGAGGGGACTTAAAAGGCCCGTCTTAGCTACATAGCAAGTCTCTGTCTCCAAACGACATTTTTGGTGTATGTGTATGTGGTACCAGGGATCAAACTCAGGACATCGTGCTTGCCAAGCAAGCACTTATTCCACTGAGCTATCTCCCCAGCCCCAATTTTTTTTTTTAATATATTTGGTACAGAGTCTCACTACACAGCTCAGACTAATAGTGATCCTCCTGTTTTCAGCCTCCCCAGCACTGGGATTACAGGCATGCGCCACTGTGCCGAGATTCAGTGGCCGGCTCAGCATGGTGCCCAGATTGAACCCTGGTCCCTGCGCTTGCCTAAGCAGGTGCCTAGTCCACTGATCTATCTCACTGGCCCCAATTTTCTTTTTTTCTTTTTTCTTTTTTTCTTTTTTTTTTTTTTGTGGTACTAGGGATTGAACTCAGGACCTTGCGCTTGCCAGGCAGGCGCTTATGCCCTTGAGCTACCTCCCCAGCCCCCAATTTTCTTTTAATCAATAAGTGAAGAGGGGGGGGGCCCAGCCCTAGCTCAGTTCTGGGGCTGGCGAGATGGCTCAGTGGTCTAAAGCGCCTACTTGGAACAAGCTTGGCAAAGCACAGGGACCACGGTTCGATCCCCCAGCACCACATGCCAGCCAGCCTCGCCCCCTGGTGGGCTGAGCTGGCCACACACACACACACACAATAAATAAATAAATGTTAAAAAATAAATAAATAAATAAAAATATTTAAAAAAAAAAAAGAAGAGGGGCCAGGGAGATAGCTCAGTAGAATAAGCGCCTGCCTAAAAGTACAAGGTCCTGAGTTCAATGGCCAGTTCCACAAACAAACAAATCAGTAAATGAAGAGGATTGACCCAAGAGGTTTAGCATTCACTGACAGGTATACAAGAGAAATTCCAAAGTAAATGAAGGGAGAAATTAGTTTTTAAAATAGAAAGTTTTCCACAAACAGATGCCCTTCCAGATTGAAAAGCCCACCACAGAGGCTCCGTACTATGACAAAGGCAGGTAAGAAGCCTGGGCTCAGACTCCAGCGGTCCGGGGTCGGTGCAGGATGCAGGTATGTTCAGCCGCACAAGCACTCAAACATGCTCCTTTCCACACAGCCTTTCTCTGGGAAGGACATTCTGTCAAGCTGGGAGTTAGGGTAAGTGGTGCCAGGAAATGGAGCCGGGCTGCCTGCTAGCAGGGCACGACCCCACCCGGCCACGGGCCACTCCCACAGAGACAAACTCTGACCAGGAGGAAAGAAACACTGTGAGATTTCACAGTTTGAGAGAATAAATGACCAGGATGTAGGAAACAATAAAATTTCTAAAAGGCAATGGTTGCTTACAAACACATACCAAAAAACCTTGTACACATTAATTTTTACAGAAAGGAAAATAATGGATGCACACTTACTAGATCAGTGGCAAACCCTGTTTCCCTGATCTTTTTTTTTTTTTTTTTTTTTTTTTTTTTGGCAGAACCAGAGATTGAACTCAGACCCTTGAGCTTGCGAGGGAAGCACTTATTCCACTGAGCCATCTCCCTGGCCCCTGTTTCCCTGATCTTACTGATTGATTGTTTTTTGGTGGCACCAAAGATGGAACTCATGACCTTGTACTGTCCAGGCAGGCACTTGTGCCACTGAGGTGTATCCCCAGCCTCCCTGATCTTACCAATACAAATCTGAATGACAGTCGAAGCCCTGATTGTACCATAACTGCATCAGGAAGAGGTGGTTGGAAGAGTCTCAAGAATCCTGGCTGAGCCAATTAGATATCTCACGCGGACTAAGCACCTACTTAGGCAAGTGCAGGGACCAGAGTTTAATTCCTGGAACCACAATCCTCACCAGCCCTGCCCCTAGGCATGCTGCGCCAGTCATGGAGTCCCAGTGCTGGGGAAGCTAAGAACAGGAGGATCACTATGAGTCCAAGCTGTATAGTGAAAACCTGTACCAAACACACATTAAAAAAAAAAAAAAAAAAAAAAACTGGGTTGAAGGAAAGCAGGAGGAAGGTCCTGGGGTGGGAAAGTAGAGGCCCCACAGATCCAAGGCCTCTGGGCAGAAATAGAAGAGCCTGCTCCTTGGTGGTTGGGGACTGTATTCATGCGTGACGGCAGTGCTTGCTCCTGTTTTATCTCATCCCGGCCAGTAGAAGGGCTGGGAACATGGAGTATAGAACAGAGAGCGCACCTGAGCCCAGGTGTGGCACTCCGCATTCCCTGGTGGGCACACCGAGGCTGGCCCTCGGTTTCTGTGTCCATGGCTCCATCTGCTCCCAGGGCACTCGCAGGTCTGAGGCAGGAGCAAGAATGTGGCATGTCCACCCGAGGGTGGTACCGGTCTCGGGATTTCCTGTTCACACTCTCACTCAGACTGCCATCCGATCAGGACACCTGTGTGGGGCCCAGTGGGGACACTGAGGTGAGTGGCCCCCACAGTTGATGTCCTCATGTGAAGGGACAGCGGGAAAGCTGGCTGGAGCAGGCCGCACAGGCTAGGGACGGCACCATGGCTCAGGCCACTGGATGCGCTGCGGGCGGGGGCTGGCCCTGCTCACCCTCAGGGACCCCTGCTCTGCTCTGCTCTGAATGCATCTGAACCTGGAGATGCCAGCGTGGTAAGTCCTGTCTTTCTCACTTTCCCTCCTCTCTTCTCTCCAAAGGCCAAGAAACTACAGGATGAAGTAATGAAACTAAAATTGGAATTGAGCAAAGAGCATCCATTTGCGACTCTCACTGGAAACCTTTCACTTCACCCACCAAAAGCACAACCTCAAAACATATTTTTTAAAACAAAATATTAGGAACATGTTCGTAGTCTCAGTGTCAAGGTTCTTCAAGCACGAGGATCCAGCTCATCTCTTATGGTGATGGGGACTGGTTAAGATATTCAGTGATTTTATGGTTTATTTCACAGGCAGCCCTTTGTTGTTTTTATATAAATCTGTGTCCCTTTTCTGAGGCTGTGAAAGTTTTAAGCTGCATTAAAAGAATGAGAATATTGCAGACAAACCACATTGTTTTCGTTTCTGTCACAGTCTTTTTCTCCCTGCCCAGCTGAGAGGGTCATTTGAAAATCTCTCTGCCCTACCCTGTGCAACCCTAGTCACAAATACAGTTTTCCTGAACCATTTTGTTTTAGTGTAGGACTCCAGTTTGCCCGATCTCTTGCCACATCAGGAGTCCCTGCAGGTAGGTAGTCCAAGGTGTTTGTCCTGGAACTTGGCCTCCAGCTGCACAGTGAAATCCAGCCCGGGGTAACCTCCGCCCCAACGGCACCAGACCTCGCCTGGTGCAGCAGGCCTATCTGTGTTCCACTCCTCTCTGCCCAGGCAGCTCAGGCACCTGCAAGCTGGGCTGAATCACTGAATGATAAATAGGGGTATTAGAGGAGGGCTCTGTCCTTCAACAGATGTAGGGCTTTTCACACTTTACTTCCTTTTGTGTTAGTTTTTTTTGTGGAACTGGGGATTGAACTCAGGTCCTTGTGCTTGCCAGGGAAGCGCTTATTCCACTGAGCCATCTCCCTGGCCCCCTTTTGTTAGTTTTAGGAAAGAAGTTTTTCAAAGAATTTTTCCATTTCAGGGCCAGGGAGATGGCTCAGTAGGATAAGCGCTTGACTGGCAAACGCAATGATCTGAGTTCAATACCCGGTTCCGCCAA